TTTGAGGAGCTATTTCCTCTTCGCTATCAGGTTGACAACCAGCGGCCGTTAGCCAAAGTGTTCCTTCTCGATTGAAAACAATTTGCTCTGGTCTAGATAACTTGTCAAAAAGTCTTGATTATGAAAAGTTCCCTCCCACACACACATAGAGAGAAGTGATTCACAGTATAATTAGACATGCATGGGTCCGAGGACAAGCGCTGCTCTATCTGAACTAAATTAGTTAACGACGCTGCCACAGCCCAATTATGAAAGGGAAAAGAAATGAATAGAATTTAAAAAAAACTCTGACACTATATTTGTTTACATCTTTTATAATTTATGAATATTTATTTACACTTACTACACAAAATTATAAACTTCGTTGTAGTTTCCACCGTTCGCGACGTCCATGCGTTGTTAGATAATGGCTGAGCATGAATTGCTAGTTGTATAAGCAACAAACAGCGAGCGTCTAGCTCACTACACAATAAATCTTTTTTTTCCCTTGAGCTTCATCTTAATAAACACTGTACTCGTAATCGTATATCTTTAGTGACTTTTATAGGGAACTCAGAATAATTTTTAGCTTTGGAAAGTCTTCGTCTGCATTTTAATTGCAACGGTGCGACTTTCTCTTATTAAATATAATCTTACTTTGCTCCAACTTATAAACAAATACGCTAAACTTAAATATCTGAATTATTTTACATCAAATGTTAAACAATGAAAACTCTGTGTTAACCTAAAAAAGCCTTAGATAGAAAGAGCTCAACCGAAATCTGGGGAGTGGTTTTACCTACCTTTACAAATTGTAGAAATAAAACAGTGCAGCATTTTTGAATGAAAAGACGTTCATATTAAATACCAAAATGAGTGACAACATAGTATAAACAATCCGAAAGCTCTGCTTATGGTCAGTTACTCTAAGTTTAAACTTTATAAGGCTTCCTAGATTAAGTTTATAATAATGAGCTGTGACGAAAAGTGAAATAGGAAATTTGTACTTTTTGAAAATCTTGATAAAGATGGCTAATTTTAAAGGACGGACGAATACTAGCATAGATAATATGTCTAAGCCTGAAAATAAACAGGAGTGGAAAACTTATGGGTCTGTTTTATTTTGTATTCAAAACATTCCCTATAAGGCAATAATTATTGAAGAAGTTCGAAAAAAATAGAACTTAAAATAGGGATGCTGTAGAAGTTATTCAAAATTTTATAAAAGTTTGCACACCCAAAAACTCAACGGAGAACAAAAATTAGTGTACTATAAACGCCTGCAAGAAAAACTGTTTCGAAAGGTGTCATACCTTCAGAATTATATCGATTTCGTGTGTACGAAGAATCTACTGCATAACATACAACTGACCAATAAAGCACTAATGGTAGAAACGGAGCATAAGGAGCTAATAAAGATAAGTCTTTAATTTTTTGAATAGAGAATTAAAGAAACCAAGTCGTAATATTTATTTACATAAAAAACATAGTTCTGCTAAAAGCCCTGTTTTTGTAAAACCTTCCAGGAGTATTAGGGCATGGCTGAAGTCAGTTTCGTTAAAGGGAAACGAAAGTGAGTGAATGGTGCGCATCAAAGTTCTAAAATTAAAGAATTTTTATTTAATAAAAATCTTAATAGACCTGTGGAAGGACAATCGTAAAGTGTAAGGTGATTTTCATACAAAAGTTTTAGAAAGATTCATGCTTTTAAAAGTATACTCAAGAGAGCGGGTGAAAATTATTACTAAAATATAAAGTCCTAGCAGTTAGTAAATGTAACAAATACGCACCCGCGAATCAAGATTAGTTTGCGAGTTCGGCACTAAATTACTTAAAAAATATTTTTAGTAACTCCGTCGCCGTGATCATTGGATTAATGAGTTAGCGATGGAAAGATGACATTACTAACGGTATCTTATAAATGTCGCCAGTGGTGATAAGCCACCTTTTTTGTTTTATAACTAACGCTATGTCGCTTGACCCCTTCTCCACACAATGGAAAATAGTCACAGTTGTAATGCTACCTAAAACGTCGCGGACTTCGGCTGAGCCTAGCAACCGCCCCTTTTTAGCCCACATTCGCCAGGCAGTGGGCAGAACCGTAGAGGCTGTCCTCATACGCCGGCTGAAAGAGTTTGTAGAAATGCACGATGCGCTTCCCTTTCATTAATAAATAATAAATAACAATTATTTATATAAAATTAATCTTATTATAATTATAATCATTACTTATCTGTTTAAACGTATAAAATAAAAATTTGCAATTATTTTAATTTATACTTTTGTTATAATATTTTATCAATATTATTTATTAATTAAGTTTAAATACATTGAAAGTGGCCAGTGGACGAGGTAACAATTTTTAAGTTTTGTTGAGTGGACTACTTGGAACTTCAGTTTTTAAAAATTACGGGTGTTATTATCAATGTCGTTAAAAAGGACTTCGAACGTGTTTGGCATGAGGGTTTCTTATGCAAACTACGCATCCTAGATATTTTTTTAGTCCTCTATACTTGAGTCGTTCTTTTGCGGTCCACCCTTAGAATAACAATTAGCATCGCGCTGTCGTCATACAGTTGATTGACAGCTGATATTCCGAAAGGCTCTCTGTCCTCACTCCTCCCTTTCGCGCTTTACGTGCCGGATTCTCTGCGAATCCTTACACCCGATGCGCGCTCCACGCTTATGGCACTGCAGTTTACATGTTTTTAAAAGAGCTCCTCATGAGGTAACATATTTAATACCCTTCTACTAAAGAATACATGTTTATTTAAGTTTAATGTATATTAACCCACATCAAGGGCCACGACCAGCTTTGTTGTTTGGTCCTCAGGGTAAGCATGTGAACCGCTGTTTTCCCCTCCCCCCATCAAATGTGTTTCAGTTTATATCTTCTATTGAATCCTAAGGTTTAAAATTTATACTATGTGTGAGGGTCACAGTGCAACACCTACAACGCTACTTAGAAACAATTACCAACTGGTGCCAGGAGTAGGGGGCGTTTATTAATACAGAAAAAAGTAGAATAATCCTTATTATAAGTTGCATTGCGCTACGCCAGCCTTGATCCTTGAAGGTGTTATAATCTCGTGATATTCTTTGTCCAGATACTTGAGTGCCATCATCGATAAGAGACTAACTTGGCCACAACACCTAGAATTTTTTGAGACTAAGATCAAAGCGTTAATCCTACTCAATCTGCTCGAAGCGTGTGCCCTATGTAGAACTACGCCTCTGTTACTGTACGTAAGAAAAGCCAGCGAAAACCAGCGACAATCGCAATCCTGTCGACGTAATAACATGAACTTCTAAGCTCACCACTCACGCACCTTATTTCTTGCGCAATGACATATTGCACGACGGCCTTCGTCTGAAGAAACCTGCGATGCGTTTTTAAAACTTACCCCTCCGCTTCTTCCTTCTGTGCATTACCATAAATATCGTGTAATCAAAAACGAGTCATCCAGATTAGCACGTCGCCTGAAAAGTTCCGCGGCTAACTAATAAAACACCACTCTTTTTGCAAAATTTAAGATAGTATATTAACATAGTCTCCTTAAAGAGCGATGCAATCATTTTAACGATTTCGCAACAATTCTACATCCTTTTCACAGAAGGATTTGTTTTTGCCTTCAAAACAGGTCTCTGTTCCTTGAAGCATTTTCTTGAGTCCAAAAAGATAATAGTCGCTGGGGAGCCAAACCTGGAGAGTACGGAGGGCGCGGAACCAAACCAAACTTCAGTTTATGAAATTTTGCCATCGTAACCATGGAATGTGACACAGTGTATTTAAGGGACCCTTGTTTTCATCATTTAAGGATATTTTTTGTTATTTCCTTGTTTAATCGTACATATGGCGTTATATGATATTCGCTATTCATGGTGAATTCTTTTTCAAGGAAGCCAATGAATATTATACCATATGCACACCAAAATACGTAAGGCCAATTTTTTCGGCAGACTTTCGTGTCTTTAGTCAGTACGAGTGACTGTCACCCTTTGCTTTCCTCTCAGCCGACTGCCGTTTGGGTTGGGAGTGTATTGATTCAGATTTCATTCATTGTTACATATCGCGTGATAATCATTTTATTTCTTTAAGAGCTCCCAAAGCGTTCCGAATCATCCATACGTTGTTATTTTTTGTTTACTATGAGCTAACTCGGTATTCATTTTAAACAGAATTTTCTAATGCCTAAAAGTTCGTGCAGCATACAGCTCACACGTTTTATTAATATCGTTTTGGCGTCAGCTAACTCACGCAACTTCACTTTACCATCATCAACGACAGTTTTGTAAATTTTTTGATGTTTTCTAGAGTAACCGCTTCATTTGGATGTCTAGAGCTCTCATCAGTTGTGTCCGTACGGCCTTATTAAACTCAGAAAACCACCGAGAATTCGTTGTTTTCGACAGTGCAAATTTCATATAACACTTCTTAAGTCATTGCTGATCTTGAATGGTATTTTTTCCCATCAAATGCTCTAAACAACGTAGGAAATATAATGAAAATAACTAAGTTGACATCACTACAATTTCTATAGCGCTTATTAATGGACGAAATGTCATCAAAATTTTACCCGTGCCTTTCGAAGGTTGGTACAACCTAAGATTGGTATGGTTCCTTATTTAGAGGGGGCACCTGTGGGTAACTCCCCAGATCTTTCCGGCCACGAGTTATTGTTCGTTTTTATTTCAGGTTTCTTTTTTGTTTTTTTTTTGCGTACTTTATTTCTTTAGTAATTGTTAATAACGCGAGCTAGTTATCAAAATAGCAGATTTATTTGGAAATATAACTATTTTTTTTTACATTGTTATTAGATTATTATATAACTACTAAAAGATTTATACCAGCTTTTATTGACTATTAAAAAAATAAAGAGCTTTATTGAAATACTAATTTAATTTATAACTGTTTCTTCATCTTTCTAAATTTACATAGAAGTAATTGTTATTATTCCTTTACCCTTGGATATTTTTAATTACTTTTTCGGGCGCTAAGGCAACTAGTTGGCTTTATAGAGTGACTCTTGCTGTTTGTACTAGATTCTTATTCCTAAGAACTTTTAGCTTGCCTTGATCTTTTTGAAGCGAAAATTTAGTTAGTTCTCCTTGTGTTTAAAAGTAATTTTAAATAACGGAATTTTAATTTTTATTATGATTATTTAAGCACAGGTTCTAAATTTATATGCTGGATCTATGTTATGAAGCTTGCTCTAATATCGGTGTTAAACCTTTCGAACTTTATGCTTCAACTTTTCTTGACTTTGTGGGCTTAGACCTCTCTTGGGTACCTTGTAGTAACAGGATCGTCGTTGTAGGCTCCGCCTTTAACGCTAAAGGTTTCCTTTGCAAATTAAATTTCTGAAAGTTACTGTTTATTTACTACTTACTTTTATTAGGAGCTATCTGTGTTTACCGCTTGAGCGGAGCAAATAATTTTATAAAAATGAAAGAGGTAACTTTTTCTGGGTCCTCTCTAGCCTTATTTTTTTACTTTTAGCCTTGTTCATTGTTTTAATTATTAGTCTAGTCGCCCAACTAGTATTAAGTGTTTAACCTTTGGGGCCACGAACATATACCAAAGGCATGTAGCTACTGGAAGTTTTGATGGTTCCTTGGAAGTGTGGTCTCTACTTTAGAAACCATGATTTACCTATTGCTATTGTTTTTCGCATATACAGGTGCTTTACTCATGCTCTGTTTCTCTGTAAGGGATTTAGAAAATCTAGTAGTCCCTACGTTTCGTGCACAAGCGCATACCTCTTTAATAAATTCCATATCTGGAATTGGCTATAAGGGTTGTAGTTACGGCGCCCCGGAGCTAGCGACAGCTAGTCGAGATGGTATACTTTACATATATAATTAATTTAATTAAATAAGTTTTTATAATATTAGGTAATGTTTTTTCTCTGGGATGTTCGACAATCTTTCCCTGTTATAGGATTCGGTGAACGCTCTGTGGATTGTTGGTCCGTAGCTCTTGGTATTTAAACTTTTTAATGATAGTGTTCTCGTGTCGTTTCTTTGTTTATCCTAGTAGTATTTAAGTATAAGTTCCTTTCTGGTAGGTTGTAAATAACAGTGCTCTAGAAGCATTAAATAAACCTTAAAAAATATGGTCTATGAGGTGCTTTTTATAAAGTTAATCTATCGCATGTGGACCCACCGTGTGTAAACCCTCTTTGATTGTGCTGTTGCTGTAATGCACTGAATTCTCGATTACTCTTTTTTCTACCTACAAGGTGGTTCCGCTAGCCATTACGAGCGTCTCTTATTTGCGGGTTACTCTGACGGGGTTATAAGCGCGTATGATCTTCGCACTTCAAAGCTTTTCTTTGAAAGCACTCTTGAACATGGGGTTAGATTTTTTTTTTTTTTACCAGCGATGCGAAGTGTTTTTTGCTTTCCGGTTATTTTTGTTAGGTCACTAGTTTGTCTTTAAACGACCAGTACCAGTCAAATTTTTATTTACTGGCATCCACTCTGACCGATATTCACCTATACACTGCTGTTTCTAATGGAAGCGCCGATCCTCTTTCCCTCCACCGCTCATTCAACTCTATGGTTGCTTTTTTAACCCATTAAGAAATATTTAATAGAATTTACTGTATTCTAATAACTGGAGCCCCGCAGCTTAACTATATGGAAATCTGCTTTTCTTCCAGAATCTCCTTATTTTGCCGTCGTCGATAGTCAGGCACGTGTGGGACTTTGGAAAAAGTTTATATATTTTTAGTCACTTGCGTAAAGGTACTTGCGACTGCCAACTATTATTACAGAGACGACGAAGAGGTGTTAACAGGGTGTGTTTCTCTGGGTAGTTTGGTTGTGAAGAACTCACCTCTATGTGCCTATGACTGGAACTTTGACAAGAAAGGTTTAGCCGCCTGTAAGCGCTCTTTTCTTGTTTTTCTTCTATAATTACTATCGTTTACTTGAAATGGTACAGGCACTTCTTTCGATCAATCCCTGCACGCTATATTTACGCCTTATATTCGGTAGTAGCCCTTTACTGTTGACCACCTAAAAATTGATCAACGATGTTGCGAGAGTCCAGCGCCTTGCAGTCTTTAATGTTATAAAAGTAATTTTTATAAATAACCAGCGCCTCCTAGTAGTGCTATTACGTGCACTAATTTTTTTTACTTAAGCGATTTAGTTGTTTCTTTTTAGTGCTTGACTAACTACAAGTTAGTGCCTTAGTTAACGTAAATAAGCGCGTTTAAGTGTAAGAATAATAACTTCTACATATATTTTAAAGACTGTAATATTTTATGCTATAAAGTTTGTCCCCACTGCTCTTGTCATATGTTAACAACTTGATCAAGGCTACGTATATCCAGACTGCGCATGACCTTGTGCTGTATTAATTAATAGTCAAGGTAAATAAGCGCTGGCGTAGTTTTTCAAAAGCATTATAAAGCAACATGCCTGCATCCAGTATTGTTGGTTAGAAGGAGCTTATGTTAGTAGGTTGCTTCAGAATTGATTTTAAATTAAACAATTATTTTCATTTGGTTCATGTAAATAACATGTCAAACCCAATTAATTGTTTTATTTATGTATAAAAAATTTGGTTAGACCTTCAGCCTAATTGTCTTAATTTTTTTGTGGGTTTATTGTTAGAGTGTATGTTCGTTATTAACACAAGCACATGTTTCGTTGTAAAGAAGATCAAGAGTATTTTTTGTTTTGGCTTAGAAAGGGTTTCTGAAAATATACAGCTGTATTATTCTTTGAGCGTACATGTTTTTTTTCACGTTCTTCCTGTACCACAAGACAGGAAATCTCTATATGTCAGAGTCTTTTATTAGAGGGTCTACTCGGCCTATGTTTTCTTTGCCCATTATCGGTATAAAAAATTAATTTGAATGGTTCATTTGAAGGTAACTCGTTAGAAGGTCTTCTATCTCTATATATGTCTTCGACTAATTTAACGCCATGTAATCCGCTTTACAGATGACTTATGTTTTGTCTGTATTGACCTCTCAGTGTATAGGGTCCGTTTACGAGTATAATATTCCACATTGTGATGGATAAGTCATGGTTATCACCCCTAGTGCATCCGTATAGCATTTGATAAGAATGTCATCTAAATTAGGAAAACCTTTGATTCTCAAAATTAGGTATATGATTTAATTACTGTGACCCAATACTTTTTCGCCGTTTCTATGTTCCGTTATTGTGCTTAAATCGATCATATAGGGTTATAGCGTATGTAATGTCAGACCTAGTGGTACCGGCTATGTTTCTCATCGAGCTAGAGTTGGTAGTATTCTAGGTTATTTCATTATGCCAGAGAGGTAGTTGTAGTCTGGTGCGTGTAGGAAGCGGTAATATACCTTTTTCTGGTATCAATTTTATATATTTTTGCCATTGCTTAATAATTGTTTTCTTTATTATTAAAATTGTATGTGCATTCAAAGTTTTTAATTAGGTTTACAACTTGGTGTATGTATATGATGTACACGGGTTTTGTAGTTATTTTTGTCCTGTCCTTATTAGCATATGTTTAATTTTGTACATGAAGAGTATTAAACGGAAGGGTTTTTTATGTAGTACGGATGTATATATTTGTTAGTGGTCTAGCCTTTTGCTTTGTTAAAACATCGTTTTTAACCTTGCCTTGTATATGCTGTTCGTTTTTTATGAAATCTCCACCTCGTGAGAATGGTAGGGAGGTCTAGTTTTTTTCTTATGATGAATTCAACCTGTTGAATTATAGAGAATAATTTACTTTGGCTGCTTGCACGTATAGTTCACTATTACCGGACACCTAGGCCTCGTTGAAGGTTTAAGTCGTGTTTGCATATAGGTTTAAGTTAAATTATATTTTTTGGTTATTAGCGTCATAACTAATTTCCATTGTTTTGTTTCTCTTTTTTTACCACGTCTGTAATATAAGTGTAAACTTGTCCATCTTAGTCATATTCGCAGGCGTATATGAACTTGCCATTATTGTTTTTTAAATTTTAACCATTCTCAAATCCCATAATTTATTGGGGGTAGGCCTTCTGGTATAATTGTGCCCTCCAATGTTTGGAGTCCACAAAAGTTTTGTTTATTGTTAATTTGTTTATTAGGTACTTAAGGTGAAAATGGGAGTTAATTTGTCTTCAAGGTCGCAAATTTTATCCACTGTTACTAGAGTAACTTTTTGTCGTTTCATTATTAATTTATTATTGTTATTTTTAATTGTTATTTTTAAGTTTTCAAGGCGTCTCATTACATGTGTTGCTTCAATTACTGTGTTCTAAGACGCCATTGCTTTTAGATTTGAATATAACCTCTTAGGGGTTATCCTCATTAATTTCGTTATGAGCTTGCTTGCGTAGCAGTCGCAAGAGTTTCTTCGTCCTTTTGTTATTTTATAGTTTTTAGTTTTTGTCATTTATACAAAAGGCTAGGTGAGTTTATTGGTTCGTTAACTGTATCAGTTTCTTTTCTATTACTTTCGGTAGGTATTCTGTGTTTTAGTCGTAGGAAAGGCTAGGGGTGTTTACTATCTATTTCGTCTTTTCTATTCACTTTTCCGTATCGACCTCGCTTATAACCCCAAAGGTCCGGCTATTCTTGTTTCTTTATAACCGAGGCCCGTTAAATCTGGGTCCGCTATAAGCGAAAACTTTGCAAAATTAGGAAGACTATTTTAATGCTTTTTTCCCCACTATAAGCATGTTTTCATTAATTATCTGGTCTTTTTTTTTTTTTTGAAAACAACAATCTCATCGGTCAACAACTTCTGTTTAAAAGCGTTTTGACCAAAACTTTCAAGTTCTTTTTCTTCGTTAAGCGCTTTCATCATAATCGATTTGCTCGCGTCGACTGATTCTAAGTAACCAATTGTTGTCCTTTTTCTTTTAACACTCCTTTTGCTGACATCTGCTTGACCACTCTGAGCCTCATCCTTCCCCTTTTCATTGTTCCCGACTTTGAAAGACTAATTAACGCTCAAGTTTGGACCGACTCTGCAATGGAAGCATCATTGGGAATTTCGTAAGATACCACCTTACCTCATCATCGACAAAAGAAATGGAGCATACCCAAATTGAATTAACTGCCACAAAGGTAAGTTGTCCTCTTTTTTATAAGCTCCAGGGTCGTGACGAAGTCAATTCTGTATTGTAACTGGTGTTACACTTAGCCAAGCATTTCTAGCGAAGCGCACTTCATCCAAGACCGATATGACAACTTTTTCCCCGGAATCATATACTTGTATATTATAAGGATGACTTGTTTTTGGGAGTAACTCTTTAAAAAACTTCAGCTCACGCCCTAATTCATAGGCTGAAATGATATACCGTTTTCAGGCAAAAAAAAAACCAAATTGTTTTTAATATTTATTACTCTAGGGGTGAGGCTGTCAATTATCTACTAAAAGTAAAATTTTACGATCAATTAGTTCTCTTTTTTACCGCCTTGATCCTGTCTTAAATAACGTTAATATCATTTGAGATTTTTTTATTAAATGCATAACTAATAGGGATTCTTTTAAAGTTTTTAAAACTGCGGAATCTTTCAAATTTGCCAATTACAAGTTTTGCTTTTCTGACACGCCATGTTAGCACGAACGAATATGGTTAATCTGTTTCGAGAATCCCCCTCCCCCACAATTTTTTTTTCTAAAATTAAAAGTCTGGGTCAGGAGTCAACGGATAAAACATTCTCTTTTTACCCCCGATAGAAATGTGTCCGGTGTGTAACCACTACATTTTGGTCCCTCATTCTTTATTTATCAACATGCTGATTCACACTGTTTGCTCCCATAATTTTACCCGATAAAATGCTGTGCTCTTTTTCCACCGATTTAACCGTCCTTCTCAAGAAACCCAGTTTTCCTTTAGACTAAAGACCTTAGTAAATTCGTCGGCTTTAGTTTGTAGCAATGGAATCATTCACCGAAATTCCCCTAGGTCGTTTTGATGTGAACCATAGTAATAAAGCGTGGGCCACCTCATCCTGCTTCGTTTTTTTTATTTTTTTCGCTTTCGTGATGATTTCCTTAATCTTTTTTGGTGTTTTCTTTGTTGCTTATAAAAGTAGCCAGTTAGACTAAGCTAAATTAAAATTTTCACACATACACGTAGACCACACATCTATTTCGCTTAAAACTATAATCTTTCAGCCTAAGAATACTAATTTTGTTTTAACATGTTTCCAATAACTAAATAGAATAATATAATACTTCAGTTTTTAGGAGAAAACGGAAAATTTGAAAGGAAACAGCGTGAAAAATATATTGTGCTTAATTCTGTCATCGATTCCAATCGGTTCGATATAACCGAGGGTTTTTACGCAAGGCAATATAGAAAGGGACCGGGATCGCAAATGTTTGATTTGCTATAACGAGGGTTCGTTTTTAGCGAGTTCGTTATTAACCAGGTCGAACTGTATTGTTTTGTGTTTTGGTCGAGTGTTTGAAAAAATGTCGGTTATTTGTATTATCGCACGGGTATATCCGGAATTTTTCCATTTAACGATAGTTCTTATAATTTGTTGATTACGGGCTGTTGATTCGTATTATATAAAAGTGTTTGTTAACAATTGATGTCTCTAGTTTAATTATTCGGTATGTATGTTGTATTTAATACCAAGCACTCGTCAATAGGAGAGTCAGTAGATTTAAGAGGAACAAACCTTCGAATTCTCGATCATCAGACCTTTGTTTAAATCTATTGTCGTATACTAAAAAGCCCTTTGCAGTCTAGAGCTTATACAATTCGAGTTTCTATCTCTTAGGACGTATATTTTGTACGGAGTTAGGTTATGTTCTTTGAGAAGTTGCTGATTATAAATGAGAGTCAAGTGGTCTCAGTCTAGTATTCTAACAGTTTGGACTGTTTAAGTATATATCATGCTTGAGCTAGTTTCTATACTTCCTTCACTCAGCATGTGTTGAGTAATTTTCTTAAGAACTGAGCTAATAAGTATAATGTTTATATATCCTGTTTAATATTCCTTATTAATAATTCAACTTTTCTGTTTGTTAGAACCTCTATTAGTGATTTTTTGGTAGGGTTTCTTTTATAGTTGTAATTAATCAAATTAATAAATTTTCCTCTAATTCCGTATTGGTTAGTAGAACAGATTGTACGTGATTAGAAAAAAAAAGTGCTTCCTTTCCGGCTATTATTTATTTATTTCTTAGTTTAATATTATGCTCCATTCCAGTGTGTCTACGTATACTAGCTGTCCAGGTTTTCGTATAAAAATGGGTTTGTCTGTATTCTTTTGTACTCTTCCTCTTCACTTTATTTTTTCTTCCTGGTGTCCCATCAAGCAGACAACTCAAAATAGTCAAACTCCTGAATAGAGAGGTAACGCGCACACTAATCTTGTTTAAATTTCCTTTTAAGCTGTTCGGCTCTTTTAATAGTACACACACCCTTTAGACGTTAAGCTCCCAATAAACTTCCTGTAGACAGTTACTATCAACACTTTGTTTCCGGCCCTTTAGACCATACAGATATATTAAACTTGCTCTTTAGACAACAAAGCTAAAACTTCTTTACAGCCCTACAGACTGAAAAGATGCCACAAAAGAAAGACCGAATCTTGTTTTATTGAACTAAATTGATTATATACCCATAATTTTAAGATAATCTTAATAAATTAAATCTCCCAGTTAAAATTAATATAAATGCAAAGAGCATATCCTAATTGTAGGAATCTACCCTTTTTTTCCTCTAACTGCGCACTGTAATTGGATCATAAAATCAACAAAATCTTTTTCGAGTTACTAAACTTTAGGAACTTCTAAACTTTCCGAGCACTACCCATTATGAACAAAATTACTTTGGGTGAAATGTCCTCACGGTAACGGAAACAATTTTAAATTTTAGCCCCAGAGTTACTGTTAATAGCTTTTAAATCCAGCAATATATTGCTATAATATAGCTTTCATTCATAGCCGACGTTTTTTCCTATGGCCACCCGAATTACGAGAACTTTGGGAGTAACTGCTGGGAAGCTGTACAGAGAAACAAACCTTACAACAGATACGTAGATAGCAAAAAGTAACATGAACACCTCAGAAAGAAGGTCAAATAAAAAAGGAGTGAGGGTTAACTTACGTAGATTGAAGATTTTTCGTATTTATGTTTTGTATATTATTCCGCAACATTCTTAATACCCTGAGGGTTTAAATTGTTCGGGACATTTTATAAGCTTTCAGGATGTTAAAGCGACTACTTTTTTTAAACAGATAATTTTTTTAGATTAATTGGTGTTCCACCTCCTTTCTGGTTTCAAATTTATTATGCAATATTTAGAAGGCAAAAAAAACCTTTGCTAAAGCAGTACCCTAATAGCTACTTTAAGTAATTTGATACTCTCATAACATACAAAAAGTGGTAAACAATTAGTAGGATGTTGATCATACTTTTTATTAAAAACACTATACTTAAGAAGTGGGTAGAATAATAGCGAAAAAATTAGATGACTGAACTTAATATTGGAGTCAAAGGCCCCCCTGTAAGGAAAGCAGCTAACCCCTAAAATCTAACCACGACTCATTGCTTTAATTTCTTTGGTCAAATTAATTTCTGTCACCACCAATACATTTTCTAAATTGCCTATAATCACTTCACTTTTCTAAGGCAATTAGATATTTAGTCTAACCACCTGAATGTAAAGGATTAACTCTTTTATCTTCGTATAAAGTGCCTTTCTCTAATTAATTTTTAAATTCTAAGTTCCTTTTTTCCCCTCTCCTAAACTGTGTACAGTTTCTACGTTCGAATTTTTTTTCAAGTCTCCGTTATAAGTTCTATTTTCGCCTGCGCACCGCTTTCACTTTGTTGTGCTTAAAACGCAAGTTCTTAGCAGTAAAACTTATTTGTGTTAGCTCTATCATTAGCATTTTAATTGAGGACGCTTGCTACTTTAGAGAATCCAATGACCTTAGGGACGTAACGTTAACCCTATATAAGTTAAAAAATGTATTAAAATCACACAAAAAGCATTAAATGTAGTATCACAAAAAATAAAACCCGTTCCAATAAATGATGACCAAAAGGAAATTAAGGAGAAGAGCTTATATTACTTGAAGACAACGTTTTATTATAAAAAATATTGCAAATGAGTTTTAAATCGATTAAGAGATGCTCTGGTTTATATACCTGTATAAATAAGAAGAAAATTATCCTTAC